TCTGCGGGTCCCAGCAGGCAACCTGAGGGTACCGGGTGGTTAAAACTCCTCAGGGAGTTTCCTTAATGCCTTAAATCCCGGCAAGAGGGGTCAGTTTGGGGTCTGCTCGCCCCTCCCCTGATTTACCCCTCTCTGCTGGAGCGCGTGTTCCCCCACAAAACCATTCCTTCTCTTCTCCAGGCACGGAGATGTTTCCCTGCAGCGAGGACAAGACGGCCGCAGGCGAATCTGTCGCAGAAGCAGACTTGAAGCGGCTGCCCGAGTTCAACCCCCCTTCCTTCATGCCTTACGGGAACGTGGGCACCCCCCTGAAAGTTTTTCTGGAGCTGATCCGGGCCTGCAGGCTGCCTCCCCGGATCATCAAGAAATTGCAGCTGGATTTCCCAAAGACGGGCTCGTCCCGCAGGTATGGGAACGTGCCTTTTGAATACCAGGACGCTGAGGCAGTTATAGAAGAAGAAAGAGTTTACACTGCTACGGGGGATGAGATCACAGAGGAAGAGGGGCCTGCGGCAAGGTCTGAGGTGACTCACCCGGCCAGTGCTGAGGAAGATGAGGAGGGGCAGGAGAAGGAGGAAGAGGAGTCGCGCTCGGATGACGTAAGTGGATTTTTCTAGCACCGTCCAAGGTTAGCTATTGTAGCTGCAAAGCTGGGAGGGCCGCTGTAACTCCCCCAGAGCTCATTTTTAATCTTTTAATTGTATTGTATAAATCACTTGTCTAAAAATGGCGTTAAAATACGGTTGTTCGCGTCTTGGCGCGCTGAGCCCCGTGGCGCGTGAGCGGTGCGGGCATTAACACCTCCGAAACGGCTTGTCCAAATCAAGCCGGTGGTAGGGGTTGAGCCCAAAGGGTTTGGTCCAGAGGAGCGAGCACGGGCGGAGGCTGGTGCTGCGGGAGCAGATCCCTGCCCTGCTGCGTGGCGGATTGGCCCGGCTCTGCTGTTGCTTGTAAATGAGGTGACCGGAGATTCGGGAACGCGTTCGTGTGCTGGAAACGACACGTGGAGCTGTACGAACGGTTGACTTTGAATGCCTCTGTGATTGAAGTTAGTCGTTCCGAGAAAAATGGCTTTCGTGACAAAGACTCCTAGAAAACTGAGCTGGACAGGCTCTCCGGAGACTATCTCGCTCCCTCCCCCTGACAGACGCCTGTCTAGCCGGTTCTCACAAACCTCTGTCGTTACAGAGGCACCACGACCCCGAGGCAAGCCATTCCCGTTCTTTGCCGTACCAGAATTAACTTAGATGGCAAATTTTTGCTGCAGTTTTATCCCATTAGGTTCTCCTAGCAACAGCGGACACAGAGAACGCTTTGTTCCCTCCTTTACAAACTTTTTATTCGGTCTTTTCTTCTCCAGACTAAACAGACTCCTCTAGCCCTTTCTCACACGCTCCGTTTCCTGGATCTCTAGTCATTTTTTTGGCTGCTCCTTAGTTGGTTAATGTCTTCCTTGGAGGGCTCTGCCCAGAGCTGGGCAGGCAGCAGTAAAGCTGTCAGTCTGACCTGCGTCTGTGCCAGCGAGCTGCTTCGCTGGAACCGACGCAATCTCTTTAGGGATCAGCTTGAGTGGAATTAATTTGTTGCTGACTTTACGTACAGCACACCTGCTCCTTAAATGGGCATCTTTGCCTTGCAGATTGGGTACGCCGCTGAAAGCATGCCGTGAAGTGGGTGTGATGTGGTATTTTTCACCACTTCTGTCTGCTGACTCTGAAGATGGCATTAGTCAGGGGAATGAGGTCATCAGTGCCGGTCGTG